TGTATATATATTTCATATTAGAAAGAGAACAGTGATAATATAGATATTATAAACATCTTTATAGCTTTGAAACATGTAAAAATAATTCGTTTAATGTTTAAAATATTGATACACATCTATAGATTATTTAAAACCAACAAATAAAATTTTTGTGAAAGTATTTTTTTTTTAATAAAAATTACCTACAAGAATATCACAATATCTTTTTCAGAAAGAACAGTATACATTGTAATATTTATTGTTATGCTTTTATACATACATACATCGAATAAGTATGTTATGTACGCACATACATCTAGCTTTTAATTGAATCAAAAAAAAAATTTTTTTTGATCACCGTCACTCACCGATCATTTAATTATTTATATCACCCACCTATTATCCTGTAAACATTCAAAAATTCTATTGTATGAATTAATTCGTCCATACTCCGTTAGATATTGTAATAGATACTACAATTTTATGCAGATGCTTTCGGAAAGATTTTGATTTTTCATTATCAGTTACATGAAAATTCTAATTGCAAGTAAATATTTCAATTTATAATACTTCAACCCGAAAGGCAGATGTTTGACCTGTGTGCAATTCCAACAGAAAATTGAATATTCCGCATCATAATTTGTTATTGTTATGACTTGGTCGAAAGATAATATTATTTTTAATAACTGCTTTACTATCGAGTTGATTTGGTCTTACAATTAGGTTGCTAATTCTGGTCAATAAAGAGAGAGGGCGTATACAGTGCCCCGCTTCTCTTTTTAAATTATTCACAAATCGCAGGGTACGAAACTTCAATTAATTTCGATTGAAAATTTTGACGATAAAATTGGAATTTTTCTTAAATATGATATGGTAAATTTTATATAAGAATTTATGCGTGAAAGAATGTGTCTAACCTTCTGTAATCGAGCCCTTTTTAGAAGTAATTTTGTCACCTTGAATATACCAAAAGAATACTGAACAATAATAGCCATCTAGATCCTAATTGCATAACGTTAGAGTTATTTCCATGGTGCACTGCAGCTGGTAACTCACCTGAAAGTTAAAAACTTAATTTAGTCGCAGAAATAATTAAAAATTAAAACAGTCCTTTCCTTGCGGCCCCTACAAAATGCCGTATAGTAAGATTATTGAGAGATCGTTTAGCGACTAATTACTCAACGACATACGTATACTTCGTTTACTTTCTGTAGCGATGCGACCTTCAGTTTGACCGACGCAGAGTAGAAAAGAACAGCACTAGGCCAGAAAAAGAAGGAGACAACTCTCGGCCAAACTCTTAACCGGTGAGGAGCGTATAATCCGTACAGTGCTGCACGGAAAAATTGACCATTTTATCCACTACAATTGCATTGCTCAAATGTGCTGTTATTGGTACCAATTACTACTGAAAATATCAACGAGATGTTTATTTATATTTGAAGACATATTAAAGGCTTTAACGATTGTTTTCGACTCGCACTACTATTCATGATTGAACAAAACTTTTGGCAGGTGCTGTATGAAAAAGTATGTTTAATGAACAAGAGTCGAGAGTATAATGAGCTTTTTTCTCCCTACCTACGATTTTGCCAGCGAGCATCCAAGACATTGGAAGAGGCACATCGCTACAGAAAGTAAATGAAGTATATTTGCATATGGGGCTCATGTTGACTTGTGCAGCATGTAAAGTTAGTTTCCCCTACTTAACTACTTACACTGATCGTGAAAGTGATAGCCTACATTTTACGGGCTTAGGTTTAGTCGATGACGTAAACACGGTTTGTTAATAATTTTACACTAAGTGCTTTACAATTATAACTTCTAGCAGTAACAAAACGCTGATTTTTATGATAAAATTGTTCTATTGCATTTGAATTTCACAATTAAGGTAGACCACCAAACATATATTTTGAATCAGTTCAATCACTTGTGAGATGTCCCAGTCTATTTTTGGTTTTCCCACAGGGATCTTTGTTTAAGGATAAAAAAAAAAGAAAAGTAAATTATAAATCATTTCTTGGAAACTGTGAAACCAAAAGGAGATTTTCTTATGTTGGTGTGTAAAAAGGATACTAGTTCTTGGCAACTCTGTTCATTTATCTAATCGGACCCTATTCTTATCTTTTGCGGCCCCGAAGATAAATATGTGGCAAACTAAAACAAATGTTGCCCGGAATTTCACCGGACGATTTAGAAACGTTAACTTTTCAACGTTCGATACAGTTCTTTTTTCTTTTTATATTAATTAAATGGAAGTGAATCGCACAAACGGCAATCAAACTAAAAAATATCGGATTTGTAGTGTAAAATTTTAATAAAAAATCGATAAAATCATTACCTTCTTTCTCTTCTAGATTTGTTTATAAAATTAAAATTAATTTCTTTTTTTAAGACCATGTATTTATTATAAACAATTGGAATTAACATTTTCGGAAAAGTCGCCGTAAAAGCGAGTTCTTAAATATAAAGTTACTTACAATTTCTTATACATACGAGTGCGACGTATAATGTAATGCGATAGGAGATATCGAAGTGCCCTATTTGAAACACGTATTGTACTAACGTCAGTCAACCTGTTAACTTTATAGAAAAGTCTTTTAGAAGCAACCAACAAAGACATGGTTATTTTATCGTGGAATGTTCTTTTAAATTTACGTCTCAGTTTTCTTGAACGACGACAACTTCTTTCAAGTAAATGTACTACTTATTACTAACATAAATGGCAACGATTCAAATAATTTTATATTTAGATGTAACAGAACGGATTAAAATAATAATTTATTCAATCTTACACTGTGCTCATCGTTGAGATTAATAGTTTATAGACACACCTTTTCAGTGTACGGAGAATTCGGGGAAAATATGGAAATTCATTGGAAACATTGTTCCTACAATTAATTTTGATATTTTTCAGGTTTTCTTGACCCTTGTTAAGATGACAAGAAAAGTTCTAGAACTGTAAAATGTTGCTTTCGAATATACTAAGCAGTTTGTTGTTATTAGTTAGTTGTTCATGGTATTGAAGTTCTGTTATAATGAACGCTTTCAAATTCAAAATAGCGTCTAAAAATAAAAATGACAGAAGCGGTGCAAAAAGAATTAATCCAAGAGGTCGATTTAATTAGCGAAGGTGCTAGTAAAAAGTTAGCCCTAATTTCAATCATCGATGTCTGCCGTTTTTATTCTGTTCCAATATTCCTTCTTTTTCCGGAACTACGCAAAAAGTAAAAGATTACATGGAAATAGCTCCAGACCTATTTTTGAAGTTGTTGTTAATCAACATAAAAGTTATAAGCAAAATTTAAAAATCCAAATGAGATCGTACAGCCTCGCTTTTGTAACAATATTTTTTTTGTCACAAACGGCGTCGTCTAGTCGTTCCTTACGGGAAAGGAATGAGCCGTGTAATAAAAAGGGGCCGTGTAAAATCCTTATATGGGACCCATTGTAAATTACAGCTATCTATCTGGATTTGTGCGAACTACTTGCTGTATTTATTGCAGCAAACAAAATGAAAAATTAAACCATTTCTTAAAACAGCTTGGCGCGTACATTCATACTTTTAGTATCTCTTCCATCATTTAAAACTGTCAAAATTACTACTAAACTTGTTTATTATTTATTAAAAAAAAAAGAAGACACAGACAATGTCATAATCAATCGTTTAAAATTAAATCAGCGGTTTTTAATTTAATTTACGTTTATATGGGGGTAGTTGTTCAAGGCAGAATCTGTAGAGCATCAGGACGCGTTCAGTGATGATACTGAAGAAAACTCATTTCCTTGTACCCAACGAAAGGATACAATAAGAGACCCCATTAAACTTATAACACAAGATAGCGCAAGGATGATTGCTTAGAAGACTTACAAAGTGTTATGCCTGAAGGTTTTTAAAGGAGAAAGGCAAGAAAGGATTTAACTTGATCAATACTTACAAATTAGTGTTATAGGTAATTCAGAATGGCATGAACCTTCAGGTGAGCGAGAGGCGGGGCTTATCGTGTTCATATTTAGTCTTTCTTTTTAATGCTACAGGCCCAGGTTGAAATATAGAAAATAATGGAAAGGCGAAAGCCAAAACTAAGGTGCATGTTATTCTAAACTACCTCTACTAGAGTAGAATTAATCCATTTGTAATCGCTCTATTTATCTAGACCAATATCGGTAGACATGTGAAATGAACAAAAGGTCGTGTCTGTGTCAGAAACGCGAAAGAATTTTCCGAACACTGCTATCATTTAACAGTTAGAATTTAATCATCTCTAGTATAAACATCGCTTACACACGCAAAGAAAAAGCCGCAAATGATGACACGTTAAGCGAGAAAATCAATTACCACAATCGGCTTTCTAATTATAACAAAACACGTTGAAATATCGGTCATAAATTAGTACAAAACTGTTTGAAATGTAATTGATTTAATTGCTTAATCTGTTTATAATATTAGCTGCGATGCTACCAGATACTAATATATACACAAATTAACTTTCGATATAAATAATTGCAGATATAATAAAACAATTATTTTTGGGGTTAGTTCTATACCCCTAGAAATTACATGACATACAATTTGGAATAATAAACAATTAATGATGGTCTCCCCTAGTTTTTCAGGATTTAACTTTTGTTAAAAATAATTTTGGTTCGTTTTGTTTTAGAAATTTCTAATAGGATGTGTTACACCAACCCTTTTCCAATTTTTACAGAAAGGCTGTAGGTACCTATAGAAAATGTTGAAAAGATTGTTTTGTAGTTTTTTTACGAATGGTATATCAGAAGAGAAATTTTAATATCTATAAAAATAATTATCTTTTTGTTGGTTAATGTTTAGAAGAGTGAATATTGTAATCGTTCGGGATTGGTGTAGAAAAGAGATAAATTTCGGGAAAGAATAAAAAATATATGCGGAAGCATGTGTTACAGAGGTTTTTGTTCGAGTCCATTGAGAATCTAACGCTATAGTGGCGTTACGCCTTCGAATTTATTTATCCACCCCATGCGAATATTTCCGGGTTTCGTCTTTCATAGAATTCAGAACAAGGTTTGTCTTTCTCAAGAGGTGAATTTATCCCCATGGGATATTAGCTCCACTCCTTCAGCTGACAGTTACTTTCAAAAATATTTCCGAACGTCTTGATTTGCAAATTTGCGCATTTCAACCTTTCAACCACGGATAGATATCAATTTAATTTACTTACTTATCATCAAAAGGACTATTTGTAAATCGGTCATTTCGAAAATTGTTACATTGCGTTATTAATCTATCTTACGATTAAACAAGAAAAAAATTAATATCGAATGATATACGATTTTTGGAGGCATGCTGTTGTCACAGCCTTATTGTGTCCCAATTTTTGTTTCTGTTTCATTTGATTAATTACTCTTTATTTTTATACGAAAACTTCCCGAATACACGGCTGGTTCGCCGTTTTAACATTGTTGGTCCATTCAGGTTGTAAACTATGCCTTGTGGCATTTGTTTCCATTTAATACTCCACACACAACACCAACTTTTCGGCGATGCTCTGTTTTCTTTTACAAAACTCTAACCAGCCACTCTTACACAAAATCCTGAAAGCCAGAATACCTGCATAATTATATCATAATGCTCTAATCTCAAATCCCGTTACTACCCAAAAAGTTTTATACTTACTAAAAACATTACATTACAATAAATTTAAATATTATATTAGGATGGAAGAAGGACTAGATATATACGATATATAAAACACAGAATAGCTAAAATATAGATAAAAAAAAGTTTAAGAATGAGCAGGTATTAGAAATAGTATTAGGATAACAGAGGCGATAAGGAAATAGGTTCGTAGAACAACTTCTCAGACATGAACGGCTAGTTACAGGCACATTAGGAGATACAGGAATTAAGAGGGGTAGAGGTAGATCTAAACTAGCCTGCTCGAGTTTTCAAGAAGACGTGTCCAACCAATCTCTGGACTGATGAAAACCCGGCGCATTCAGCATATTTTTCATTTCAAGTTTTAAATTAAATATGGTATTAGTACCTGCGAGTAAGCAAAATTCGAATGTCGAAGAAGGTAGGTTCTTATAAGTATAAATAGGAATGTTTAAAAAGAAATGGGAAAGCAAGGAATCTTTTGAAAGTTTATTTTTATATTACTTCCTGATACGCTACAGGATAACGATCGAATAAAAATACTCCTTTCAAATGATAGAGAAAAGGTGATTAGTAAACTAAGCAGATAATTTTTCTCTCCCAGTCCGGAAAGAAGAAAAAGCTCCATTTCAACATTCGTCTCTTTACTGATTCCAGTTTTTCAAATAAAACTGCCTTTCTTAAAATTCAGCACTGCGGTAAAACTTGGAAAACTTTAATTGCTTTTTGTGTACCACAAAATATGAATAAGGTACATAAAATATTTCTTGGGTAGGTAGGTACATACACATACATGTACAAGTAGGTGTTATTTTCTCTTTAAAAATTTATGTTCTACTTGACGAGATTCTTTTTAAATATGTGATTTTAGGTTATCCTTTCCTGTCTTCGTGTATCCTACCATTACATTTCATTACCCCAATACACTAACAGAGGCCTTTAACGGTCATAATCGATGGTAGAATTATGTTTTGGCCCGATAGATCTTAGATGTTTCGTTTGCGAGTCACTGTCGATATTTCGAGGTATAATCTTCGCTCACACTGTCAATATAGTTATTTCGGAAGATGTCAGCCGCAGTTGCCGACGAAAGGTCTTAACCTTGACTCAGATTGGACATGGCTCCGCTCAGTATTTTAGGCCAAGACCCCTAAGTCTGTAGTCCAAATGAACCGATAGGTCCAGACCTTTTGTCTGCAACTAACGTCTGTATTGGTGTTACTCTGGCAATGTGGGCGACTGATTGCGAGTCACTGTCGATATTTCGAGGTATAATCTTCGCCCACACTGTCAATGTAGTTACTTCTGAAGATGTCAGCCGCAGTGGCCGACGAGAAGTCTTAACCTTGACTCAGATTGGACATGGCTCCTCTCAGTACTTTAGGCCAGGAACCCATAAGTCTGTAGTCTAAATGAACCGATAGGTCGAGACCCTTCGTCTGCAGCTAACATCTGCACTGGTATTTCTCTGGCAATGTGGGCGATTGATGCGAGTCACTGCCGATATTTCGAGGTATAATCTTCGCCCACACTGTCAATGTAGTTACTTCTGAAGATGTCAACCGCAGTGGCCGATGAAAGGTTTTAACCTAGACTCAGATTGGACATGGCTCCGCTCAGTATTTTAGGCCAAGACCCCTAAGTCTGTAGTCCAAATGAACCGATAGGTCCAGACCTTTCGTCTGCAGCTAACGTCTGCACTGGTATTACTCTGGCAATGTGGGCAATTGATTGCGAGTCACTGCCGATATTTCGAGGTATAGCCTTCGCCCACACTGTCAATGTAGTTACTTGTGAAGATGTCAGTCGCAGTTGCCGATAAAACGTCTTAACCTTAATTCAGTTTGGGCATGATTCCTTTTAATATTTTAGGCCTTGAGCCCATAAGTACGTATGTTGTATTGTGATAATTGTTTTTAACCGATTTGTAGTAATTAATCAAGTTTTTGGGATAAACAAGGTTTAGTAAAACCGCTTCATGCAAATGTTTTGATACAATACAGTGAGACAACAATAGGCATTTCTCCCCTTAGCGACCGAAAACGTAACAGATGACAAACAACAATGAAACGTAGAACTACATGCAGCATATTCAAATGGTATTCAACAACAGAAAAGCTCTTCTACTTCTCGCATCTCTAGTAGGCAAAATTCACAAATCTTACAATGACTTTGTAATGAACTAGTTCGGTTGTTACTGTTCGCAAATCTTATCGTTAGTATTACGAAAACTTTTAACGAATTGTCCTAAATATTCCAACATCTTGTCTATTCATGTTTTAACAACGTTAGAGAAGCTTAATAAATACGTTCGCCTTTTCTGTTTTATGTTAGGGTTCTTTACGTCAAAAGGAAAAGCGGAACCCTTACAAATTCATTCGCGACACACTTTCTCGGAAAATTTTTGACGTAGACACATCCAATTTGGCACAGCAATACATCATTACCAACAAAAATATACACTATCGGAGAATTAATAACCTACTATAGGAATTTTCTATTATATTCAATCATCAAATGGCGGAAAAGTTAAGAGTTTTGCCGATGACATTTTCAAAAAAATAAAAATCCCGACAAACTAATGTGTAATATCTGTGTATGTTCGGTTTTGCCATACTTGTATAACAAATGTATATAAAATATTCAAACAAATATGAAACCGTTACATTACAAAAAGGGTATAGGGTTTCTAGAATCTAAAGTTTACAATATCGTTACTTAGTAAATAAATCAATAAACCCCAGCTTCCCAAATGTGCATTCAATTAGTTAAGATTCGAGGAGTGAAACACAGCGGTCATTTTGATTAATAATTTGACGTCGGCCATGTAAATCATATTATGCTAGATCAATTTTAGCCTTTGGGATAGGGCGTATATCAAAATAATTAGACAACGCATTGTAACAAATTACTTTACACATTGATTGTGAAATGAAGATTTATTTTAAACATTGCGGCGCCATATGTACACACTCGCACCTACATATATGCCTATAGCAAATAAATTTTATGATATTGTAATAACTTCTTTTTCTTTGTTTCAGGTAAGTGAAGTAAATCTTCTAGAACCTGTGCGACTCGAAATGGTAAGCAAGATATTTATTACAATGTAAGAAAAGCCGAAATTTATGAACTTTACCATCGCTAAAAGTCATACCTGTCGCTCGTTTTAAGTACAAAGTTGGCACAATATCCATGCAATATGTTAGACAATAAATCGCTGGCGATACAGTAGTGGTTACTGTAAAATATTATTGAGAGATTTCTTTTACGTCATCGACTTTATAAGGGATTCAAATACACTGCTACATACAAAAGGGTGTCACACGCTGTAGTTCTCTGTATTTTGCTACTGCCTTGTGTGAAGGGATTATTCTTAACTTTTACATTCTGCTATATATACTACTGATATATGTTTTAAACTTACCATTAAGAACATGAACCATAACACTGGCTGATGTAACAGTTCCTATTGAGCATGAATAATTTCCAGAATGATGTTTTTCTAGCGGTTCAATAGTCAAACTGGAATACACGGACTCATTAGTCTGAGTATCGTTGGTATTATTGGTACTGTAACAAAGAAGTAGAAGGAAATAATAAAATTGATCATATATTTTGAAAATTTGGATTTAAGCGGCTTGATATATTCGACCTATTAACGAATTAAATTTACGTAAATGAAACTAGAGTAACTTGTGCATTTAGTAGCAGCTGCTGTTACTACTTTTCATTCATTAATTTTTAACGTAATTAAAATCAGGTAATTTTATTAATTAATTCATCAGAAACACATTAACGTTCCTTATAAATGAAGCTTCCCTTTGGTGATATTGGAATTAATAGTAGAAGCGATAAATTAAATTCCTGTTGTAAACTGTGGTTGTTCAGTAATAGAGGAATGTTACTGAAATTGCTTACATATTAATGAATTTATGCATGAAAAAACAAGTCCTGAGAGAGAATCCAATAAAGTGCTTAGATTAGTTCTTGTACACCAAGCTAAAGACAAATTGGACTTCGCAACGTAGTTTAACTAAATGTAAATGGAAAACTTGAAAAGTTACTTAAATCCATTTGGTCTATTTTCCAGTTTCTAAGACACCATGAACTACTCCAGAAAAATTGATTTAGTTTCAAAATTATTTTATCATCCGACTAAAATAATTTTTTGTCTTAAGATGTACCTAATGAATATTTTGAAGGTTATTGTTGAACTATCGGAACACTTAAAATTAATTGTAATACAATTTATACACTTTTTGGAGTCAAAATAGTTAAGTAGATAGATAGACTTTTCGGCACTTTGAATTTTTAGTAGGTAAAGTTAATTTAAAAATTAATTCACTAATGCATTGGATGGGCTTTTTTGTTCTATTTATGGTAATAAATTTCCTTTAGAAAACTCGAGGCATCAAGCTAGGCATCATCTTCATATTTTGAAGTAATTGTTTTAAATTGATTGTTATTAAGAGCAGATTAAGTTTTTTATCGAAATAATTAGACGTAGATCACTTATTTGATTACATCAGCACGCCATAGGTTGAGCAAATAAATTACCGACTAAACTGAAGATGCTTCATATAGCTAAGCATGTTTGTATCACGTCGAGTTGCTAAACTATTTAATTGTATTCGGTCGTTTAACAACAAGTCTGTATTGTGGTTTCTTATTTTATTTGTTTCTGTTGTTCAAATTTAAACCCTTTTCTGTAACGTTCAACCGAACATTGTAAAGCATAGCGATACAATTTCAAATAACAATTTGTTATTTATTTAAAAGAATTGAACCGTAATAATTTCTTACCTTATTCCATTTGTGAGTATTTTCTCTACATGCCTCCAAAATATTGGTTGACTCTCGCCTGGACCGCCGACCTGGGATGCAATACATGTCAATTCGAGTGCACTTCCTGCTTTATAATAACGTTCGGATACTTCCCTTTTTGATTCATCCACTATCGATATTTCCGGAGCTGAAAAATTTATTAAAAATGACTTTAACAAAGAAAATGTTATCCTTATTACGGCAGCTTCTGAAGCTGTACATCAAACTTAATACCTATTACTGTCATTTCAAATGCCCTTATTAAAAAGACTTTTCAAAGATGAAAACAAAAAACTACGTCTATCAGGACTCCTTCTTGGAATTTATTATGATAGTTACATTACAGTTCGCTAAAATCTTTCTAAAATAATTTTATCTGACGGAGTTAGTGTACAGCACATCACAATAGAATCTTTGATGTTTTAATGGTACAATAGTTGTGAAAAGACATAATTTATTAAATTATGTAGTAGAATATATAACTAGAACGCTTAGTTCACTACTTTTAGATCTGGAACTGGAATTTGTAGCGCTACAAAGAGTTTTCAGGATTTTCTATTACAATTACAAATCTAAAATTTTGTCCAAATTTCTATTACGTTAAAATTACACGCTAACTTGCACTTGCAGTTGTAACAATTTTGCAAAATCTAACACAAAAGAATGATTTCGTTCTGTTTTGGTGTTTTTTTCTGTGGTACACTGATGGTAAGATTTTGAGATACGTCCTGGAACGTCGGCGGTCCCATATATCAAACTAAAAGACGCATTACAAGGAAACAGCTGTGAATGATGTATGAATACATTCACTAGCACTTAGTACTAATTGAAGGTAATAAAGGAAAACCGCCTTTGTATCCGTGGCTTAACGAGGAAGCTTAAAAATTTATATTGTTTACCTTTACCACATTTCCTTCGGCAATAATGACCATCCTAACTGCTATAGAGTTAGGTATCTATTAAAATCTTAAATCTCTGTAGAAATTAAATAGAGTGTGTCTAAAGCCCTTTGCTCTGCTCGAATAAAATTAAATCAATGACAACTCTTCGACAAATATGTCGGAATGTGAATTCTTACTGGATTCCTATTCTGAGAAAATGCTTCTGAAAATCTATATTACACGAGATGCCAGCTTCACGTCTTTATCTAACTGCCGTTGGTTAAACCTTCACAATATTTAAAATACATTGTCATTTATCATTGTGGGACAAATTGAGACGTGAAATAATAACAAGAAAATATGAACATTTACAACACTAATTCAGTTTTTTCAGGGAAATTAAATTTATCTTAAAAATATTGAATACATATACCTAATAATGATTGTAATACCTAGGTACTTAGGTATTTTCTTGTCTTATGCCTACAAATTTCATTTATGTTTTAAAAAGTGCATTATTTTTATTAGTAATAAATAATTATTTTACGAATATAATAGTAATCAGATAGTTGATTACATTAAAAATTAATAGTCTGTTTTACTGTGTTATTAAACATTGGTATTACCTATTAAATAAGCGGGGCCTAACTGGCTTTCTAAGAACATACATGTACACACGTATAAATACGCACACGCACATCTTTGTGTTTCGCTATGGAATATTGATGTACTTACATTATGCTTTTTTACTTCTTTTCTTGGTAAATGTCGAATTCCAGTGCATTTTCCAAGTATTTATCGACATGTTTTACTTACGGGGGCAAAAGCTGGGCTATTTCGTCAGTAGCACATTTGAATTCGGCGGTTAACATTGTTGTTGGGCTCGTTTGTTTTTTAGCGCCATATTGGCTTGTTGTTTAGGGAAGAAGAGCTGTTTGTAGTTTAAAAAAGTTCGTTAAAGCTGTGCCACGTAATTGTGTAATAAGAGGACAAGATGGAACCGGAAAATTCAGACAGCAGCAAATCAAATTGTAAGTAAATAGTAATATATAAATACCGATTTGTCTATAATATTATGTATTTGTTAGCCGAAGAGAATTGTATCGTTATTTCTTCTGATTCGGAACAAGAATTTGTCATGCCCGAACTGATTGAGATTGAGAGTTTATCTCCACCTCGCCCAGAACCGCGTAACATCAACGATTATGAGAGAACAGCAGGTTTGCTAACGGCTTGGCTATTCATTTTCTAAAATTTTAGTTGGAAATTTTTGTTTGCATCTTGTAGGACTGTTTGGGTCTCAGATGCTGTATAAAACGATAAGTCCGTACGATAATCCGCAGCCTTCTACAAGTGGTAACACATCCACTTTCGCGTCAACAAATTTTCCTGGGTCTGATTTTTCTGAACAAATTGTTACAGGTAATTTTTTTACCTATTAAGTGTTTCGTTTGCTTAAATTACACTTCGTTTTATTTTTGTTCAGCTGGCAGAAGAAATCGATTGATTCCTCCCAGCCAACAGTTGGTGTTTGGCTTCCCTACCACCACCGGAACACCCAGCGATAACATCAGGCAATTCCAATGGGCAAATTTTGGTATGTTTATTACTTACATATAACCAAATGTGTAACTTTTGGAGGCCATGACACCCCTTTACACATCATGTCATTTAATATTATGCATTTTTCTTATTCTTTACAACTGACTTATAATAAAATTTATAGATTGTAACTACCCCATGTACATGCCTGAACATGAAGTATCAGATTTACATTTTTGCGAACAGGGTAAAATATTTTTGTTCTTGACTTATTTTATTGGTTTTAATTAATATTAATTATTGGTTAAAATTAAACGTTTATGCATCTAGGTAATGATAATTCTGACAGTCGAAATGATTCTGATTCCGATCTACACTATCGGCGTCCAGTAGACACTGACCCTCCTAGTAGCGAAATCGGTAAAAAAGGTTCATTATTTTATTAGATAATTAGCTAGGTATAGGTAGGTACATATTTTTGACACAATTGTTTAATTATTCCCAGACAACGATCCCAATAATATTGAAAATTATGGTGGCACACTTCGGTATCCAATCCCTAAATTCCGAAGTGGTAAATTAACGATAGTTTTCTCTTAATGTCAAAAAAATCTAATATATCTACAAACTTCTTAGGCACTGTTTACCGCTATGCCCCTGTTATCGATACGTTGCTCAAAAACGATCCCGATTATAACTTTGATGAACCCTATTTCGAAAACCAAAGTTCACCATTACAATTTCCCAATACAGAAGAGGGTAAATAGTTGCTTTCTATACGATATTAATTCCTATAAATAATTATGTTGTCTTAAGGGAACAATAATGCAATCGAATCTGAAATTGTGGAGGAACCAATCGATTCTGACTCATCGGGTAACAATTTCACACCGCAAACCGCTAATGTCGAATCAGGTAACGGCATTCCTGATAACATAGATGAGCCTTCAGAATCACCTATTCCTGATAATATAGGTAAAAGACGATCGTCTTGCACAAATGCTTATAATAAAATTTCAATGCGGTGTTGTTGACATTTAGGTGAAGATTCTGAAGCTGAAAGTGAGAGTCCACCACGAAGGAGGCATTCCAATTTAGATCTCACTATTTACGCGATTACTCGACAAATATCAATTCAACATGTTCATGTGATAAATATCAATCAGCCATCACGCAATGACGCTAGAGATTCTTCTTCCTCAGACGAAGAGCATTTTACCCCCCCACCACCTAATTCAGAATCGGGTAAAATATAAATTATAGGGTTGTTCGGAAAGTCATTTCGTTTTTTTTTTGGGGAAATGAAAGACAGTTTTCGTATAATAAACAAATACTTTATTAAATTATATATTGACCGTTCTGGTCCAACACCTTTTGCCATCTTTCTGGTAGTAGCATAATTCCACGCTCATAAAATTTTTGGTCTTTGCTGGCAAAAACCTGATCTAGGAGGTTTTTGACCTCCTCATTTGAGGTGAAGGTTTTACCGTCTAAAAAATTTTGGAGTGACCGGAACAAATAATAATCCGATGGTGCCAGGTCTGGAGAATATGGTGGGTGTAGCATTGTATCCCATTCAAGCTGTAAAAGCTTTTGGCGAGTGGCCAAACTTGTGTGAGGTCTCGCGTTGTCTTGGTGAAACACTACACCTTTCCTGTTGATTAGTTCTGACCTTTTCTGTTGAAGTCCATCATTCAGTTTGTCCAGCTGATGACAGTAGACTTCCGAATTAATCGTTGTGTTATCCGGTAAAAGCTCAAAAAAAAAAACGATTCCTTTAAAATCCCACCAAACAGACAGCATCACCTTTTTTTGGTGAATATCGGCTTTGGAAATGGTTTGAGCCGCTTCATCTTTTTTGCTCCATGACCTCTTGCGTTTGACGTTGTTGTATACAACCCATTTTTCGTCCCCAGTGATGATACGCTTCAAAAACGGATCATTTTCGTGACGTTTGAGAAGCAAATCGCAGACGTCAATGCGGCGACACAGATTTCTCTCTGGGAGAACATGGGGAACCCATACATCGAGCTTCGAGGATAATCCCAGGCCTTTCAAGTGGTCATAAACTGTTGAATTTGATAAATTTAACCTCAATCCGATCTCACGTGTTGTTATTCGCCGGTTCACATCAACTAGTGCCTTTATCGCATCTTTATCAGCTTCAACCGGCCTTCCCGAACGTGGTGCATCTTCGACATCAAAATTGCCGGATCGAAATTTAGCGAACCAGTTCTGGCACTGGCGTACTGTCAACACACCTTCTCCATACACATCAGTCAATTTCTTTCTGGCTTGAACAGCATTTTTACCCTTTCTGTAGTAAAACAGTAAGATATGTCGAAAATGCTGCTTATCGCTCTCCATATTTAAAAGGGTACCAACCAAAATCTACTGCGTAGAATTAATTGGAATTTTTCACACACAAGCCTTGCTATATGAGCTCTCAAAGCATATAAAAATTATACGGCTTAAATGTGAAGTTGGGTGCAAAAGAATACAATTAAATCCTCTATCGGGAAAAAACGAAATGACTTTCCGAACAACCCTATACTTGCTTGTTCTTTCCATTGGATCGCTTTTCAATAATGAAATGTTATTGTGTTAAGGTGATGCTGTAGCTCCTGTAAACGGTGTTGATTCTCAGAGACCGCAGTCTCGTAACTCCGGTAAAATTTCATCGATACTTTGATCTTTCTGTAGAATATATTCTACTAATTAAAATTTTGTAGGTGGCGGTAACTCTAGAAGACAACGCCAAAATTCTTTGTTGGGTAAAAATATTCTTATTTTCTTTGAAAACAAATCTCCTAAAATTTTTTGTAATTTTAAGGTAACGTAGTAACTGATGGTTCAGATACTACAAGTAACTATTCTGCCTCGGAACCTCCTAATTCTCAGTCGGGTAATAAAAAATATTCTATCTCCTTTTGCAAGAAATATTGTTTTAAATTGTTTTTTTTTGCTGTTTTAAGGTGACGAATCTGTCGCCTCTGAAACCGAAATCGCATCTTGGAGTAATAATTCGGTGCAGGGTAAAAAATTATCTGTTTTATCGTTACTCGTACGGTCTGTACTGAAATTAATTAAATTCTTCGTAGGTAACAATAACGAGGATTCTCGTTCACCAAGCGAAAGATCGCTGCGTCAGTCTTCTGACGAACAATCGGGTAAAACCTTATCTTTCTTCTGGTCAAATTTAAATGTTACCATTCTGTTTAATTTTAAGGTAATGAGTCTGGTATAGAATCTTCTAATAATAATCTATCGTTTTCCCAGTTCGAAAAGGGTAAAAACTTATTTCTCATTACTTAAAAAATACTGTCTTTAAAACTTATTGCATTCGTAGGTGTGCATACTCCTTATTCACCAGACGATCCTATGGTTCCATCACAATCCTCTAATTCGGATTCTGGTAAAACTTTAAACTTAAACCTTTTTTTTTTATCAAATAAAATGTCGGCAATCATTTTTAATTAATCTTAAGGTGGCAACTCCACAAGCTCGTTAACGGTTGATGAAAGCGCATCCTCCAGCGGCAACTCGAGACCTCGATCTTCTAATTTGCAAGCGGGTAAATTATTTATTTACTTCTTTTCACTGTCATCTTCATACTAAAAAAGTCTTTACATACTTCGCAGTTTAATCTCTTTATTGTGGAGACAGGTAATACATTTTCTTACCCTTTTTGTGTAGCTTGTGTCTTTTCTGACGATGTAAAATTGAGAGTTTATCTCAAATATCGATAATTATTTATGTATCAATCAGTTCTTCTTCTGCATCAAAAGATTTGTTCATCTACAATGGCAGCGCTCCTTTGTAACTAACACTGTTACCTTACTAACTACCCTACGTTATCCCGCTTCATAAAATACATCAAATTCTTTGATACCTTTAGACCTTTACCCAAGACAATTCCTTGCTGGGCCAAGTCAGCCTGTTGCAGGACCAAGTCGCCCAAGACAACGTCAACTGCGTTCTACATCCAAAGGAACAAATTCTGCTAGGAACACTGCTGCAGAAACCAACAAGGAAAATGATACCGCAAAAGTTCCTCCGAAAAAGAAACGTAGAACTGAATAGGAAGGTCTACAAGCCTACATTTTCATTGATTTTTTTAAAATTGTTCTTAAATTTAATGATTTAATTACTCTAAGATTTACGTTTTTATAGTTGTCCTAATTAAAATTATAGTAGTTACTCAGTTACTCATGTATAACTAAGATTAATTGTATCAGTTACTCGCTGTAATTCTTTGAAAATATGTTCGTTAAGGTCAAATAGTTACCGTACATGTGATAATAGTCAATTTGAAACCTCTTTGTGATAATAATTACTTACTCCGTAACTCATATCTTCAAAATTAGATTAATTTTATCAGTTACTCGCTGTAATTCTTTAAAAATATGTTCGTTAAGGTCAAACAGTTACCATACATGTGATAAATAGTCAATTTGAAACATCTTTGTGATAATAATTACTTACTCCGTAACTCATATCTTGAAGATTAGATTAATTTTATCACTTACTCACTGTAATTCTTTAAAAATATGTTCGTTAAGGTCAAACAATTACCATACATGTGATAATAGTCAATTTGAAACATCTTTGTGATAATAATTACTTACTCCGTAACTCATATCTTCAAGATTAGATTAATTTTATCACTTACTCACTGTAATTCTTTAAAAATATGTTCGTTAAGGTCAAACAATTACCATACATGTGATAATAGTCAATTTGAAACATCTTTGTGATAATAATTACTTACTCCGTAACTCATATCTTCAA